GTGTGGGAACCAGCCCCTTCCCCTGGCACGGGGCCTTCCACAGCGGAGCAATCAGAGCCCACTGGCAGCAAATCCTCTGGCCACAACATCCAAGTCCAGGGGCCAAGTTCCCCCCTCCTGGTACCTTCAGGGAATGTCCCACCACGTTCCTCCATGAGTGCAGGGGCACAGCTGCCATTTCGCCATGGGCTGCAGGGAAACTGCTGCTGGGGCACCTTCTGCCCCTTCTTCCTCACCAACCACCAGCACCTCTGCCCCTCCAGCTCAGCTCTTCTCCCTTAACTGCTCGCCCTGCTCAGCTCTTACCTCAGCTCTTCCATATGTTACTGGCAGAGGTGCATCTCTTGTCCCTCTAATGGGTCCTTGGCTGGGTTTGGAGCAGGGGCAGCTTCTCAGCTTCTTCCTGGAGCCACCCCTGGGGCCCTTCCCCCACTACAAAAAAACCCCCACCAAAACCAAAGCAGCATACTTTAGTTAAAGTGGAAACTTCCAGCCACTGCAGCCTTTTCAGGACCCTACACTGGCATGCCTGTGACAGATATATTTCGTGGCCAGGGACTTACTTGAAGAATGTGGTTTTTTTCCCAGCAACGAGACAGCATCCGGACTTTTCACTCCAGCTGTCAGCACAATGGTGAATGGAGCAACTCCCATTTCAGCTGTGTTCGTAAGTGACCCATCTTTGTACTGTGGGAAGCACACTGGAATGGAGTCCTTGGGCTCTAGATCCACTGTATCTCCACGTTAGGAGGATGCTGAAGGACTGGGATATGAGCATGCTAAAGGGACAGAGGAAGAGACTGTACAGGGACTAGAGGGGCTGAATGGTTCTGCATCATACAGAACAAACATATTGTTGGGTGAGGATGTCTCTTTGATTATATCTGATAGTTTTTGTTTCTTTTCTGCAGCTGTAAACTGTGGTGATCCCATTCCTATTGACAATGCCCAAGCCGTATACATCTCTGAGCCTCATGAGCCTCTGTACAAAGCTGCTTTCCACTATCAATGTGATGCACCTTACTATACTCTAGAAACCAAAGGGGATGGTAAGCATTGCCTCTGCTACATCAACATATTTCTTTGATCAAAGGCCTAAAAAAGATAATGAGAAACAGTCACAGGATTATATCACATCAGGGCAAGACTGGGAAAAAATTCTCAGTGGTGTGAAGCTGCAGGCAGCAGTAATGTGCTGCCTTTGTGTTTAATACACTGTAATAATGTCTGCTTGGGCTGTTGACCTTAAAAGTATCAGCAAGTCCCCTCTCCATTTGCCTGGTGTGTGAAACATGGAGATTTCTGTCACAGTTGGCACACATTTCTGGTGGAGAAGTGCTCAAGAAATCTATTAATAAGGTCGCTCCAAAATAGGGGCAAAAGCACTCTGGTGGGGTTACTTCTAGGGAGATCTCAGCAATGTCTTCCAAGCTGTGCTTGCTTTAGAAATGAGAATGTGCACATCAGCATATACAGTGATGCTACTTAACCCTCTATTCATCTTGACTGTACCCTTATGGCACTCGTCTTTTTTTGTGTGTTTTCCAAGGTGTGTATCAGTGCTCAGCCAGTGGAGAATGGGTCAATGAAGAGATGAGAACAAAGCTACCAAAATGTGTCCCAGGTACTACCAAAAATTGTGCATATGCACCACTGTCTTCCTCTCTCTGTTTTCAAACTGTTAAGCCTGAAAGTGTAGTTGATCTTTTCTATGTTGTTTGAATCATATTGGACAGGGTTTTTCTGACATCTCTGGGCCCCAAAAAAAGGTCAGATGAGGCAGCAGAAAGAAACTGGAAGCATAAGTGGGCAACATAATAAGACATTTGGTGTAGCAGAACCTCTTTGTGTATCAGTGTCTGTTTCTGCACCAGTTTTCCCACTTTCAAGTGTGCACGTTCTCGAGTTGTTCAGTGCTTTAGATCTCTGTCTGCATTGCAGGCAGCAAAAAGACTCAAAGCTCAAACAGATGTCCAAGGGTGCTGGGTCTGTATTTCTTTGGTCTCTCCCAAGCTACACTGAGAGATGTAGCTTCTTTTCAAACCCCTCCTAAGGGTAGTGTCCAGCACTATAGGTGTAGCACTATAGGGAAAGGGCTTTCACTGTTCTCACTTGAAGGCATAGTCTAAACCCTTAAGGTTTAAGGTGTCCTTCAGTATCCAGATACACTTAATGTGCCTGAAAGTTCAAGCAATATCCCTCTCGAGGACCTTCTCATCTTCTCTTTATGTACTTGGGAGACACTGACGAGGGAAGTGCCTGGGTACTGGACTATTCCTGCTCCTGATTGCTGGTGGTTATGGTGGGGTCTTAACTTCTGCACACTGGTCAGCTTACCCTTTCAGAGGTGGCTGTGTGTCTTGAGCTGGTTGTATATATGATGCCTGTTAACAACTCCAACCCTCCAAAATGTTCATTGGCAAAGTACAAGATCCAGCTGAAGAAGGTTCAGCCCTCTTCAGGGCCAGCTCAGCCAGTGACTTGGACTATACAAGTGCACAGTGCAAAAGGCAAATGGTAAAATAAAGCTCAGATAATTTACTGCTCAAGAAGAGCTTACAAGGAATATAAGACAGACTCGAGTGGGACACAGCAATAAAAGACAATGCCAGGCAATGGGTACAAGTGGCAACAAAGGAGATTCTGGCTGCATTTAAGGAAAAATGCTCCTCTTGTTGCCTGGAGAAGCTGGATAATCACCACCCTTGGAGATGATCAGAAGTAATCTGGCAAGGCCTCTGAGCAACCTGGCTTTGCAGTTAGGAAAGCAGGGGGAAGGGCAGTTAGGGATTAACTAGAGACATCAAGAGGTACCTTCCAGCTTAAATCTTTCTATGATTACATTAAATTATTTAACAAACTGATTCATTTAAATCAGAAGCTACCTACTGGCCTATTACCTCAGTCTCTAACTATATGACTAAGGGTTCAAGACAATGTAATAAGAAATCATGTTCCTAGCTATGTCTGAAAGATCAGCCTTCTTTATGCCCTTAGTGCTCACATTCTGTTAAACCTCATAGAATAATTTAGGCAAAGAGCATGGAGCACCTCTGCACCCATAGCACCCACAGATGAGCTCTGCATTAACCCACTGCCAACACAGAAAAAGAATGGAGAGGAAAACTGGTAAAACATCATTGACAAATCTGAACTCTTAACCTGAGACTATCTGGGGTTCACACACAGAGAGAGACATTTAAAGAAGTGTGTCATGTATTTAAGAATTTAAGCAAACATTTTTTTCAAAGACCATCCCTTCACCTACAGGATGTAATTCAGTAAAGGAAAATTGCTAACTAGAATGCAATTAAATGATGAGCTCTGACATACCAACACTGGCAGGCTGAAAATAGCTATGAATCTTCTGCTTTCCAGGACAGAATTTGAATGAAACTTCCATTCAAATGAAATGAATTGAATCGTTGACAGCAGTTACTAAATTGAAATTTTAAATTATAAATGTATAAATTAATTTGAATGTTGACAGCAGTTTTATTTTAATTTTCTTGAATTTTTCTGTAGATCCTAGTTGCAAACTCTGTGACATAGAATATAAATGTTGGTTACTTCGAATAAAAAACTATTTAAAGCACACAGGAAGGAGGGAGCTATGGGCACTTTAGTACTACCAAAGAAATCCGTTTGTAACTGCTACCTCACCCATCTGGTTCCTCTTCTTTTCTTTTCTTTCTAGTCTGTGGGGTGCCTAGTAATCCCATCCAAGATAAGGCCAAGATTTTTGGAGGCACCCTTGCAGCAAAAGGCAACTTTCCCTGGCAAGTGTATTTTGAATACCCAAGAGGAGGTGGTGTCCTCATCTCTGAAAGATGGGTGATGACTGCAGCTCACGTGCTGGAGGGGTATGACAAGCCCCACATGTATGCTGGGGTCATCAATGTTGGTAGAGAATCTCTGTTCAAGGAGGGCAAGCAGCTGATCCCAGAGGCTTCATTCATCCACCCTGGCTGGAAGAAGCAGCCCATAGAAACCAGGACTGATTTTGATAACGATATTGCCCTCGTGAAGCTGAGGGATCCTGTGAAGATGGGCCCAAACATCTCACCCCTCTGCCTGCCTAGTAAATCCCCTGAGTATGAGCCGCAAGAAGGGGTTCTGGGCTACATTGCTGGCTGGGGCCAGAGAGAGAGAGGAAGGCTGCCCATTTATCTTTGGAAGGCCCAGATCCCCGTGGTGGACATGGAGAGGTGCCGCTCTGTGCAGCCGGAGGGCTCTGCTGACTCCAGCGCCTACCGGTTCACCGACAACATGATCTGTGCTGGCGGTGGGAAGGACAGCTGCAAGGGGGACAGTGGAGGAGCCTATGCTATCCAGGATCCTCGGGATGACAGGCGGTACTACGTGGCTGGGCTAATCTCCTGGGGACCAAGGTGTGGCACCTTTGGCCTTTACACTAAGGTGGTGCGTTACTTGGACTGGATCAAAGAGACCATGAGCAAGCACGAGGATGCAGAAGCTTGGCAGGATTAGCTCTTGCTCTTGTCAGCACGATCACCTTTCTGACTCTGCTGGTTCCATCTTCAGGCTGGCTGGGATCCTGTTCACTCTGTGTGTGTAGAACGAGCCTACTCACTGTGTCTGTGCTGAGTGGAGAGGCTGGGAAGGGTGTTTCTTCTCCCACTCTCAGAAGCATAAGGGAATTATGCTATTTTGAATGAAGAGGCTCCTTCTGCTTCCTCTCATTTTTTTCTTTCCCATTTTTTCCCACTTGGAGAAAATGGAGCCATACCCTACCTGACAGGGAGATTTTGATGCAGATGAGAGAGAATAATTGTTTGTTCCTAGTGTAGGTTCAGAGCCTGATTTCTGATGTATCTCCTGTATTGTGCAGAATATCCAACAGCATAAAAGAATGTCCAAATTGCCTTTTGTGCACTGTGCTTTTGTGTGTTTATTGCCTTTCTTCTTTTCAGTCTAGACCTAGTTCTCCTTTAAACTCCCTAAATCAAGCGTCTAATCACTTTTTTCACCCACTACACTGCCAGCTTTTGTCAAGCTGTAAAGCTGTAACTTGTGCTGCCTCTCCTCTCTAAGAGTTGTATGAGATTCTTCTGAGATGGTTTAATGTCACTGACAAAACATTACCAGCAATGAGAGTTTCAGACTTGTGAATCAATCTGAGCAGAAGAGACATCTCCAAAATCCTTTCACTCACCTCTCCTCAGGGCTTCAGTTTTCAAACTTTATTGTGTTAGGTAAGAAATAAAGGTTGCATGATTTAGGGAAGGTGGTGTTGTGGCAGAAGATTCCCTGACATGCATTGGGTTGTCTTCTGCTCCTGAAAGTCCTGTGTCACTCACAGATCCACTAAGATGGTCAGGGAATGGGTGCAGATGGCATATGAAGGTGGAGGAAGATGGGTTTGATTAGCATGAAGAGGAAGTTGAGAGGAAGTTCTAACTGCTTATGTTCAGTTCTGGGCCTCTCACTACAAGAAGGACATTGAGGTGCTGGTTCCTATACAGAGAAGGGCAACCAAGCTGGTAAAGGGTCTAGAGATCAAGTCCTCTGAGGAGAGGCTGAGGAAACTGGGGTTGTTTAGTTTGCAGAAGAGGAGGCTGAGGGAAGACCTCATTGCTCTCTACAGCTACCTGAAAGGAGGTTGCAGTGAGGTTGGTGTTGGCCTCCTCTCTCAAGGGAGTAATGACAGGATGAGAGGAAATGGCCTGAAGCTGCACCAGAGGAGGGTTTGACTAGATATTAGGAAGAATTTCTTCACTGAAAAAGTGGTCAGGCACTGGGACAGGCTGCCCAGGGAGGTGGTGGAGTCACCATCCCTGCAGGTGTTCAAAAAACATTTAGATGTGGCACTTCAGGGCATGTTCTAGTGGGCATGGTGGGTTTTTCAGGCTTGTGTGGTGGTTGTGGAAGTTGGAAGAAACCCCTAGAGACCATCTAGCTTTCCAGTTTTAATCCATTACCCTTCATTCTTTCACTACAAGCCCTTGTAAAAACTCCCTCCCCAGCTTTCCTGCAGGCCCCATTCAGGTACTCAAAGGCCACGATGAGGTCTCCCCTGAGCTGCAGTCAGAACTTTATTGCATATAGTATGAAAAAAAAAAATCCATCCTTAAATTCTAGTAAGTAAAGATTCCTTGGTTCTCTTCTCCACAAGACTGGTTGTTGCCTTCCCTGTCTTTTGCATGTGGCATCACACAGACAACTTATTTTTGCCCCCCTTGAAGCCACTTGGAGTATCAGACTGGGTAATCTAATGATACTTTTGTGACAGGTGAGCCACACTGAGCTGGGAAAACTGCATTGGTAGATAAAACAGCCCCTATGTAAAGTCAGAAAGTTGCTTCCAGTGGCGGGGAATATTTAGTAATTGTTAAAAACAAAGACAGAAAACCACACCTGGTTTCTCCAGCCATGATTTTAATAGTAACAGAATCTTACTGATGGTGTGTGGTGTGTGCACACTCAGCACAAAGCACCACATCCTTCCAGGAAGTCTGCTGCCCTGCAAACATCTGACACTGTGAAAGTAAAGTAGTCTGATGACATCCTCAGGACTTCAAACAGTAAGATGTTTGCTGTCGTGAGATTCCCTGATACTATTCAGGCTTCAGTAATAAGATTTGGAAGAACCAGAACGTCCTCAGAGGCATCCCAAGAGCTGCCAATGGTGCAGCAGCTTTTGTAAGTCTTGATGGTACCACCAAGAATTATTCAAACAATACGGTGGCTTTCAGAAGTGCTCATGATGGAAGTTACATGGTTGAAGTGTTTGAAAAGCCTTTGGGGCATTATCAAAAGCTTTACTGTGTTTGGAAATTGGTAGGCTTGTATTTTTTTTTGTTCTTGTTTGATTCTTGTTATTCTTTTACTCTTCTTTGATGCTCCAGGTAGTAGGACAACAACAGTTAGAGCCTATCCTCCCTTACTATCCCCTTGATCCAGTCCAGATAGTTGAGGACCTTCGTGTAGAAGCCATAGCCTTCGGCACAGCCGATGCCCCAAGAGACAATACCAGTAGCCACCCAACGACCACTCTGTGTGTCTAACACTGTGAAGACGCTCCCACTGTCCCCCTGGCAGGTGTCCTGTTTCACGGTGAGGAAGCCGGCACAGAACATGTTCTCAGAGAAAACTATAGGTATATCTCCCCTCTTACTGTCCAGCCAACTCTGACACTTCTCTCGAGCGACCGCCGGCAGGCTCACGTACTTCAGGTCATTGGAAAGAAAGTTCTTCTCCACACCAAAGCCACTCACGTAGCCTATGTGCCCATCCTCATAGAAGGTGGTGTTGGAAGTGTCTGGGAGACAGATGGGCAGAACTGTAGGGCCCAGGGTGACTGGGTATTTCAGCTCCAGCAGAGCTATGTCCCCGTTGAAGTTATACTCATCTTCAGGGTTGTAATCTGGATGGATGAAGATCCTTCGGACAGGGTGGTTACCCATCTTGTGGAGCTCTTCTACGCTGGTGTGGCCAAGGAAAACATTAGCATCCTCTGCTAGCTGGTCCAGGCCCACCTCATTCTCTCCTTGCCCTTTGGGGATGATGATGTGGGCAGCAGTGAGGATCCAGCGGTCGCCCAGGAGCGCACCGCCCCCTCGTCCATGGATGGTAGTCAGAGCCTGCCAAGGGAAATTCCCTCTCCCTGCCGACTTGCCGCCCAGGATCCGCTGGACTGAGATAACAGGATTGACTGGCTTCCCACACACTGCAGAGAAATGCAAGGAGATCATTCCACCCTCTGTTGCCCTGGCCTGTCTCTCTCTTTCCTACACTACCACTGTTCGAGATGTTTTACTAGGGCATGTAGTGACAGGATGCGGGGGAATGGCTTTAAACTGGGAGAGGGGAGATTTAGGTTAGACATCAGGAGGACATTCTTCACTATGAGGGTGGTGAGACACTGGCACAGGTTGCCCAGGGAAGCTGTGGAAGCCCCATCCCTGGAGGTGTTCAAGACCAGGTTGGATGGGGCTCTGAGGAACCTGATGTGCCTGTCAATGCAGGGGGGGTGGATCTAGATGATCGTTAAGGTCCCTTCCAACCCAACCCATTCTGTGATTCTGTGATTATTTTTGCCTTCCTGGATAGATTCCTCTGTCCTCCCTCCCTGACACCATTATCCTCACTCCCTTCCCTGTATGTTGTCCCAGCCTTGTACTAACTGCAAGAAGGAACTGGTAAACACCAGACAAACTCCGAGTGTTTTACTGACCTGGCAAGCAGGCAGGAATCTTCACCTGGCCATTTCCATCCATCCAGGTTCCCTCAGGAGAGCAGGTGAATCTGTCTGGAAGATGAGATGGGAATGAATGAGACTCAGGCCTGCAGGTATAGGGTGGGAAGAATGAAATGGAATGGACTAGACTAAGGATAGGATAAGATAGGATATAGGATAGGATAGGATAGGATAGGATAGGATAGGATAGGATAGGACAGGATAGGATAGGATAGGATAGGATAGGACAGGACAGGATAGGATAGGACAGGACAGGATAGGATAGGACAGGACAGGACAGGATAGGACAGGACAGGATAGGATAGGACAGGACAGGACAAGATAGGACAGGACAGGATAGGACAGGACAGGATAGGACAGGACAGGATAGGACAGGACAGGACAGGATAGAATTTAGAATCAAGTTGCTAGTCTCTGTAGCTGCAGAGAGTAAGACAAGGTGTTTTGTTCCAGAACAAGCAAAAAGATGAGTCAGTTCCTGTACATGCTCAGTATCTATCTCTGAGGCTATACTGCAGGTCAACCAACTTGCATGTCACCTCTCAACACAAACTCTACTACCTCCAAGATTCTTGCTTTCTGAGAAAGTCTGTGCTGGTGACTAAAAATAGTTTTTATACCATTTATATTACACTGTGCTAAATGCTTGCAAGAAACTGTTTGCTGTTCTCTTTCCAAAATTGACTAAATCACAGTCACTCCCCATAAGAACTTGGCTGGTGCTGATATTTACTTGCTCCTGAATTATTTTCTGACAAGATTGAGCAAAACTGTGTGTCCATGCTGGCAACCATATCCAGGAACTGAGTCAAATTTAAAATCTACTTCTTTTCTACATGGTTTTTGGGTTGTTTGGGGTTTTTTTTGCATATGTGTAGAGTCTAAATGAGCAGCCAAGACAAGGAGACAATTAACTTTTTACACTGTTCTTGTAACCTAAGCTCCTGTGTAATCTAGTCAGGTCTCACATCCAGAAGAAGACGTGAATGGTTCTGGATGTTGCCTTTATTTTTCTGACCTGCTGCATAAACCCAGATTTTTCTGCCTGTCTGTTATTTAGCCTTTATATATCTCTGCTGCTGGACAACATTCCAAAGAGGTAAAAAGCTTTAGAGAGGAGTGGAGTGTGAGGTTTTTTTGTAGTAACTTGGACTGGTGTGATGAGGTTTCAGAATTTTGGTGATTCCCAGACACTATACCTCACATTTCAGTGAAAGAATGAAATCCACTAGAGAAGAATAAATCATGACTAGAGATGAGAGAAGACAACCTTCCAAACAAGTTAAGAAGAGCTTGGAGGAGGGGTGTGATGGTCTCCAGGAATGAAGCAGGGTGGGAACACGCTGAGATAACAAGCATCAGAATCTATGCTGCAGAACCAAGGAAAGACTGGGAAGCCTTCAGCAGGAGGAAACCATGAGTCCTGAGCCTGGGGAGCAGAGACAGTGCTAACTGGGACTCTGAGAGGGCTTTCCAGGCACAGCTTTCAGTGTCTGTGTGGGATTAGGACTCACCACCACCTGCTCCAGTGACAATGTGATAATAGGGCTCATTGCAGCGGTACGTGATCACTGACTGGTAGGTGTTGTCTGCAGGTTTGTTAGTGTAGCTGAATGCCCCATTGGTCAGGTCTGCAGGGTTCCCACAGTTCACAACTATAAAAAAGAAAGAAAAAAGAAAAAAAAAAAAAGAGTTGACTCAGAAGACAGCCTTAGTCCTTGCAGGTTTAGGACTGACTTGGATTGCGGCCATGAAGTGAAGGATGGATTGGAGCAGCAGGCAGAGAGAGGTTGCTCCAAAATGGATCCCAAACAGGGATCTTTTGCTTTTAGATACTACAACATTATAGCAACTTGTTACTGGTATTTCATGCATTTTTGTAAGGGAGAAAAACATTTAAGGTTTTGCAAACAGGCAAATGTAATGAAAGTCAACAGTGGACTTCCACAGGTCTTTTTCCAACCAGCATGAGTCTATGGTCAGAGACAAATTGAGTCATAGAAGCTAAACTCCCCACGTTCCTGGAGAGGCAAAGCCAGAGCAGAAGGCATAATCCCTGCTCTCAGATCACTTACTCTCACAGTGGGGCATGGATTGATGCCACGTCCCATCAGCCTGGCAGACAGCTGTGAAGGACAGCAATGTTTGGTTGCCCTGTGTGGGAGAGAAAAAGAGCACTGTTGGTTGTACAGAACCTTGCATTCCCTTCCCCGTGTTCAGATGTTATTCTGTCTTCCCATCTTCTCACTGCTGTTCAATAGTTCCCCCTCTGCAGTCTGTTCCACTTGCTGTCCTCTCTCTTTGCTGCCTTCTCTCCCTGGAAGTACCCAAGGCCAGGCTGGATGGGGCTCTGAGCAACCTGGTCTAGTGGAAGGTGTCCCTGCCCATGCAGGGGGGTGGATCTAGATGATCTTTAAGGTCCCTTCCACCCCAAACTGTTCTGTGATTCTATGGTTCCCCCTACCCTCTGTTTGCCACAGGCTACAGATTCTCCACAGCAGGCCAAGATGTCAGCAGCCACCAATCCTAGAACCGTGACAAGTCTGGGGCACTACCCAGTCCTGCCAATAGGATGGCAAGGGAGGCAGGTAACACCTTCTGCTTCAAGTCTGATTTCATATCCTTCCAAAGAAGTACTCTTGTTTACCAATACTTCCTGGGATCTTTGTCTCTCGTTTCCTACCAGGGCTTTGTGAAACAGTAACTGCATGAGGAAGGGAGCGAGGAAAAGAGAAAATGCTGGAACAAAGCCAACTGAGGCCAGGAAGAAACAGAAACTGCAAGAGATTGCCAGGAGTGAATCTCCAAAGAAAGGGAAAGACATAAGAACTGAAGAGAAGACAAAATATGGCTGAAGGGAGTGGAAAAGGGATCTCACCTCCATCAGCTTATACCCAGTCTTGCAGCTGGCAATAAAATAGTCCTGAAATTCATACACAGGCTGCAGGTCTCTGATGATGGTGAACTGATCCCGTGGGACAGGCTGTGGGCACTTTATTTCTGTTAAGAGAATGGATCAAAGTAAGTTGGCATTAACAAATGGTGCAGATAGGCTGTAGTAGCCTCTGGAGGAGGAAGGTCTTACTCTCTGAGGTGTAGTGGATCTTCCAGCCACGGCTGAACCCCGACTCATCAGTGAGGAAGAGTATGTCCACCTCATTGCTGTTGGTTTCAATGCTGTCAGGTGACTTCTTGCCACAGAATTCGCCAATCGTTCTCCCTCGTGCTTGGATCTGATGAGGGAAACATGGATCACAGGGACAGAAACACATATGCCCCTCTGCCCCAGTACCCCTGTTTCAGTCCAAGCTTGCCCCTGTGCCTGTGATGGTGGACAGGGCTGGCTGACCTCTCTCTGCTGATGTGTGCACTGACAGATGATAACAAAGGGCCTGCCTACCAGGAGCTCTGCTTCTTCCTCATCTGGGCTAGCAGAGCTAACAACCCTTTCCAATCCTGAAACTAAACCAAAGGGAGATAGAACTGGAAGGAGGATGATATTTTTGGCTCCACTCACAGGGACCTGTGACCCAGAGCCTGTGACCTCAGGACAATGACAACGAATCACACTGAGGGAGGGAGCAGGGAAGAGGTCAGTCCCCCACGCTGGGGCATTCACCTCCTGCTGATCCCATGTTTGTCATCCAAATAGTGCCATCCCCACCATTCCTGTCCAGGGCTGGCAGCAGGGTTGAAAACAGAGTTTGCCCATTTCCAGTACCTTGAGCTGGTCATAAGGACAGTAGACTTGCTGGTGGTCATCAATCTCAAAGGGTTCCAAGAAGCTGAGGACGATAGACAGCCCCTTTGGCAGACGGATGCTGTAGTTGCACTGGAGGTCTTCAGGATAGGGCTGGGGGTACTCGGGGCTGCTCAGGTACCCCGAGGCCTCTGTGTACAACTCACTGCTGCACTCCACTGGTGGAGAGGAAGAAAGGACAGGTCACGCTGGGGAGCTGGATCTTCTGCAGCCCTCTCAACTCTTCCCTAAGTCACTTCTCCCGCCCTTCCTGGCTGAGGGACTCCTTCTCTGGAGCCCTGTGATTTTTCAAAATGTAAGTTTACCTTTGCAGGAGTGGTGGTCACTCTGAAGCTGGTAGCCAGTCCGGCAAGAACAGAAGTAGCCCCCCACATAGTTGTGGCAGAAGTGCTGGCACTGAGGCCTTTCATCTTCCTCAGCAGCATTGTTAGGGTCACATTCATCAAGATCTGAAGGCACAGGAGATGCAGGGACAAGGGGAGAAAAGTGTTAAACCTCTCTGCTGTGCAGTGAAAGTCCATAAAGATCTATATCCTTGCTTTCAGACAAGGAGGAAAATTGGTGGAGACATACAGGCTTCTTTCTGCATGCTGAGGGTATTGCTACTCACCCACAGCTTGGTAATAGGCCAGGAAGCCCCTGTAGGGAATCACTGTGCCATTGTCATCATTGGAGAAATCAGAGTGAAATGCCAAGTGCATCCTGTTCCCCTTAGACACAAATTCTTTCCTTCCTGGGTGATTGCCTGTGGTTGACCCGAGCTGGCCACAGTATCGGCCCAAGTTCTTCTTGTCTGCTTTGATCTGTCAAGGTTAAGGGGAAAATCACTGCAGCCTGGTAAGACTCAGCCTGCTCCATGTATCCACTACTACCCAGTCCCAAGTTGCCAGGAACTGCTCCACCTATTTCTGTCTTTAACTCCCTTCTCTTTCCTTTGTAGGAAGCATGACAGCTTGGTGAATCAACAGCCATCACAGGTGGTGGCCACTACATTCCCATCTCTTCCCCCCACCTGGCCCCAGGTATCCATGCACCTACCTTAACATAGTCATAGAAGCAGGACTCAGATGGCTCTAGGTCAAAATATCTGAAGGTCAGCTTCACCACATAGCCTTTTGGGACACGGATATCCCAGGTGCTGATGTTATTGTTGGGATATGGCTTGGGATAACCAGGGGATCTGATCTCCCCAAAAAGCCTGCTTGGGACTGGACTGGAACTGACCACTCCAAAAAAGAGGAAGGCCCACAGGACAAATGGAACATGCCTGTGAACATGACAAGTAAGCACTGCACAAAATTATGTCATCCAAAATCAGAGGACTTTTCACAAATTACTTGTGCACTGTCCCATGGAATCCAAACACCAGAGGCCTCATTGCAGGTCCAGTGTCTGGCTTGATCACTCAGGAAGGACAGCTGAAATTAAGACACCAGCACTACCCAGGTTCCAGCAAGGCATCGTGACCCAGACAAGACAGATGCATCAGCACAGGAAGATGTTTGAAGGAGCATGGGTGAATTCATTGAGCAACATCTGCTTGTTCCCAGCAGTCATGGGGCTGAGTCCCTTAGAACCAAGGGAAGTTTCATTCCTTTTGGCTGTGGGCCAGCAGCTGGTTTCTCTTTCTTGCTAGTTCCCCAGCTGCTGCTATTTACTGCCTATCTCATTTGGTGAGGATCTGAAGATCTCGAGGTGAGTGTGCTGAGCAATCCTGCAGTGCCTCCTGGGCAGCCCTCTACCCAGTCATGCCTCAGCCTCTCTCCTCCAAAAGCTGGCACTTTTTTCCCTCGTTCTGCAGATCTTCCCCCCTGGGGAGCAGGGCTATGACTGCTCCTCCAGCCCCACCTCGTTAGCACAGCAGCCGGCGAGGAACCCTTCTCACTCAACCTTACGTTCTGGCAAAGCTTTCATGGAGAGCAGTGAGCTTGAGCTCAGCCCTTTGAACCTCTTCTTCCTGGAGGGCTCTGACCCTCCGCTTCTCTCCCTGCATGGAACCCTTTTGGTTGGAAAAGGCCTTTAAGGCGACCGAGCCCAATGGTTCACCCAGCCCTGCCGAGTCATGTCCCCGAGCACCACTTCCCTGTGTCTTTTTAAACACCTCCAGGGCTGGTGCCTGCACCACCTCTCTCGGCAGCCCGTCCCACAGCCCGACAGCCCTTCCAGAGAAGAGTTTTTCCCCTCACGTCCCATCTCACCCTCCCCTGGCACAACCTGAGGCCGCTTCCCTCGCTC